AAATACAAGTTAGTTATACTATTAGTGTCTCCTGGTTTATAGAAAAGGAAGGTTTGTGCTAATTTCCATTGGCTAATTTTTTATCCCGTATCTTATACTCTGAGGAACTACTTTAAAGATAATGTGCAATACATTAACTATTGTTATTCTATCATCTTGTTAAGAAATTTTGTTTTACCTTTTCTCCATAAAAAAGTAGGTTTTGGGTTGCGTTTGAGTACTCATCTTTAAAAGGCTTGCCTTTAAAGTACATTATTGACCCTGCAGCTTCAAATGTTTGTAACTACTGGTCCGACCTCACAGCCCTTGGCTAAGCAGCCTGAATGAAAGAATATGCACTCACAGAGATGTCAAAGAACTTGGAGATTAACCACAGGCCCTGCACTTGGGACTTAAAGATAATGCAAGTTGAAGTGACATGGCCTCAAATTAGACGGTAAAAGAATTAAGGATTTAACATTTTGTTCAAATTTAAGCAGACACAAACCACATTTTCTTGGTTTTTATATGTTTATGAAAGATATGTTCTCTCTTGTAAAATAGGCATCAGTAAACACAGAATGTGAAAAAGCAGGAGGAAGAATCCAAAGAAATACATAGGTTATACACTATTAGCCCTCAATAGCATAGAAAACTGCATGTTCCTTCAATCCACGTCTCATGTACATACATGCCTTCATTTAAAGCAGTGAACAGTTTCCTGTGCACACTGGGCTCGGGCAATACTTGAGAGTTCCTAGACTGAAAGAGCCAGAAGAGCAGAAGAACCACTCACTGGACTGCTGCCCACTCCCAGGTGTCTCTGTCTGCCCTGCTGGCCTGGCATTCGTCACCGTGGACAAGCTGCCTCCATTGTGGAATGTGCAGGTGGAAGGAGCCAACAGAGTTGTCAACCAGGATGATGCCAACACTGGTCTAATCATTTAGCATGTATTTTTGAGGTAGATAACTTTTGGTTGAGTGAGAAAAATACATGGTGTTTAACAGCGTGAGCTTCTGATTACTAGGTTTGGTTCCAAGAACTATCACTTGGTAGCTGTTTGACTTAGAGCCAAATTGCTTCATCCTTGCATCTTAGTTTCCTCATATATAAACGGGGATAATGATGTTTCATACCTCATAGGGTATAGTAAGGATTAAACAAGTTAATGTAAAGTAAGTATATCAGAAGTATTTATAGCAATTACTAGAATGCATTGTGCTCAAAATATTAGCTCGTATCCTAACCTTTTCCATCAATATGTATATATATGGTTGAAATTCTTAAAATTATAGTAAAACACACATTGCCATTAATCCCCCACTTTGAACACACTTATTCCATTGTTCTTGCCACTTTCTACGGCAGTTCTGAAAATCCTCTTTAGTGAATGTCTGTTATGGTTTATATCTAAAATGTTCCCTCATGAGCTTCCAAGGGACTTTTTGAGTGGCCAGACCATGGGTGTGTATGATGGTTTATTAAGGATCTAATAATTGGATTAATCAGCTGATTGGTTTAGCACAGTTCTGAGTGTGGATGATACCATCCAATAGGCTTCTAGCCTGGGTAAGATAAAAGAGAAAGGAAAGCTTGCTGCCGTTGGTTCCTGCCTGCCATGGACTGTTTCTCCCCTATTTTGCCTTGGAGTCAGATGACTATAGACTAAAACCTCTACAAAGTGTGAGGTAAAATAAACCTTTCCTTCTTTAACTTATGGGCATGTTATAGGTAATGCCTTGATATCCCCAAAGCCTCATGTTTTCATAGGTAGGGCTTTTCAGAGGTGGCAGGATCTAGTGTGTATGATGCTGGAATTACTAAATTAGCCCACTGATTGGTTTGGCGTAGCTCTGGGTAGGATTAATAGTGCTCCTACCCTGGGTCTCAGAGTTATCTGCCCTAAGGGTAGGTAGCTTGGCTGGAATATAAGGGACACTTGCTTGTGGTCTTCTGCCTGTCCTGTTTGCCATGGATTGTTTATCCTCTGCAATGTCCCAGTCTGTCATGCTATCCTGCGTTGGACCTAATCATGTATTAACTAAAACAAACTGTGCACCAAATAATTTCTTCCTCCTTTAACTATGGATGTTGGACATTTAGTCTCAGCAATGAAAAAGTTAACTAAGAAAGTTATTTTTATGAGGTGTGATTAAAAAGAAAAAAGGGTGAATGCTACTGCTGAGTGCCATCCAACAGAAAGGCAAGCTTGTAAAAACATGAGTGTGTCCTCCTATTTCTTACCTCCTGGACTGGCACTATGTGACTTCATGTGATTTTTGGCTCTTCAAAATTGAAATGACCATGAGAGGCTAACATTTTCAATAGGTTCAAGGCACTGAGGCAGTGATGACAGATGTGAAAAGCAGGAGTCCAGAACTGCTTCAAAAAGTGGCAAGAATCATGGAATAAGTGTATTCCAAGTGAGGAGGAATACTTTGAGATAAATTAATGACATTGTGTCTTTTACTGTAATACATTTTAAATATTTACTGTAGTTTTCAAATACTCCTGGATAGTCATAGTCTGAGGAATATAGGGCTAGGGGCTTCAAAATACAAATTTTAGGGAACACAATGCAGCTCATATCAGGTATGAAAAAGAAGTTTAAGAGTTAGACCTTATGATCACCTGAGTGTGGTGGTGCATGCCTGTAAAATCACAGCATTTGGGAGGCTGAGGCAAGAGGATCACTGCAAATTCAAGAACAGCCTGGGTTACAAAGTGAGCTCAAGGCCAGCCTGAACTGCATAGTGAGATCCTGTCTCAAAAACAAAATTTAGCTGGGCGTAGTGGCTCATGCCTGTAATCCCAGCACTTGGGAGGCTGAGGCAAGAGGATCATTGCAAGTTCAAGATCAGCCTAGGCTACAAAGTAAGCTCAAGGCAGCCTAAACACATAGTGAGTCCCTGTCTCAAAAAGACAAAAAAAAAAAAAAAAAAAAAAGACAAAACTTAAACTTTGCCACTGATGTTTTATAAGAAAAAATGCTACAGAGGGAAGAGAACAAGAAATCACCAAGAAGCAAGCCCTCCCTGCAAACCGGTGCCATGTGTGGGCCGCCTGCTGCTCCAGGGGGCTATCCAGACCCCAGCTTCTTCTGGTGTGTGGGCTGAGAAGCAAGAGCCAACCCCCCTACCCCACTTGGTAAGTGACCACTGATCCGGAGATCATAGCTATTGAGGTGAAATGCAATTTGATGCTTGTGGTGTTGTGGTCCAATCACCTATTGAGCGTCACAGTATGTAGTGACATGATTCCCTATCGTCTTGTTTTGAAGTCCTGTATCATTGTTTTGTTTCGTTTGATTTTGTTATATCTGATGGCATAGGCAGCTATTTCAAAGATATATATTATGGTAGCCATCTGGGATTTACTATTGTCTTGTTTTGAGATTCTTTATTGCATTCATTGTTTTGTTTTTATTGGTTCTATTTTGTTTTGTTTTACTATGTCTGAAGGTATCTGCAGCTATTTTGAAGACAGGAAGAGTTACTATGGTAACCATTGTTGATTTCATGTTGTTTTGGGGTCCTGGGTCACTTGACACTGGATTGCTTTGATTGGCTTTGTTCTCTTTTATTTTGCTTGGTTTTATTCTCTTTAAAAGAAAAGAAAAGAAAAGGAAAGAAAAAAAGCTACAATAAGAGGAATGGGCTAGAATTATCATTCGGTGTAGTCTACACAGTCACTATTAAGGACTGAACATGAGTCAGGAATGAAAGGACTGAATGGAAAAAAAGAGAAAAGATGTATGCTTGTACATTTCCAGAAATCAGGCTAGTGAACCTTGACCCATAATTTGGCACATATTTAAGTATGTTCTTAAATAATAAAAACAACTATATCACTTAATATAAACTTAGAACTTTGAAAATATAGTATTCTTAAGGAAATTATAATGGCAAACTAAGTGTTTATAAGTTCTCTAACATTTCAACATGTAGGATTATTCTATCCTTAACATTTTATTGGACTCTTAAAATAAAATGATCTAATGTCTTAACACTAGAGGTTAATAAGCTAACCTTTGTAAGTGCTTTATTTTCAGATTATTTTTTTTTTATCTGAATAGAAAGGACACATACCTAACACCAGTTTCACAAGTTGCAAAAGGATACATATTAGCCAATAGGTACTCTTGGCTGGCTGTGGCGGCATATGCCTGAAATCCCAGCACTCTAGAAAGCTGAGGCAGGAGGATTCCAAGTTCAAATCTAGCCTGCTCAATTTAGCAACTTAGGGAGAGTTGTCTCAAAATGAAAAATAAAAATGCCTGATGTAGCTCACTGCAAAGATCTGAGGGTCAATCCCCCAGTATCACCAAAACAAGGAGGGAAGGTGTTCCTTTCCCATTTTTCCCAGCCCTATAACTCTTACCCAGAGTTAACTGTTAGTTTTTCTTGTATATACCAAAGATACTTAATGTTCTATGCATTTACTGTAAGAAAATATCTAAAAGTAGCACCATCCCCCCCCCAAAAAAGATTCTGGCAATTTTTATTGCCATTTTGACTTCCCTACTCAAGAGGAAAGAGAATAGAACTGCCAGTCTAACAGCTTACTTGGGAACCTGGGATAATGCAAGATGAGTAAATAAGAATTTGGTCATCAAAGATTAAGAGACAGCCTTCACAAACATCTTGAATATATTTAGTTTTTTAATCTTTAAGACAATGTAGCAAAAGTCATTCATTCTCAGTTCTTTCTTTCTTCTAAGGCTTACCACAGTTACAATTCTATCTCCACTAAATTTTATGAAACTCAACATAAAATTCATTCATAATTTTACGCTTAATTTTTGAGATAAAAATTAAAGTAAACGAGGCAAGATACTGGGACTTGAAGTTCTTGCTTCAAGTGGATTCACTTTACCTAGGTTTTTTCCATGAATTACTTGTACTTATGTCCTTATTTTCCTTAGGAAACAACTGTTATTAATACAAAAGTAGACACGTTGACTGGAAGGTTAGTTTCAAGTTTATTTCAGAGAAAAGAAACCCAGAGAGCCAACACAATCTAGTTCAGAAATGCCTTTATTCCAATGGCAAAATAACAGCGGAAGAAATGTGTTTTTCTTGTAACAGTAAATGTACATCTTAAGTTGCAACATATAAAGTGTATGTTAAACAAGTCTACCACACAGGATAAGAGATGAAGATTTGTTGATAACATGAACAGGTATCAAAAAATTAAGAAAACAAGCCTTCTTTAGAATGTTAGTTCCTCGCATTCCACAAAGAACTTCCAATGTTGATCCATTAAATGGCATGGAAGAAATTCTTGATCGCTGATTAAAAGTATTTCATTTATTTGTAAATAATAAGGAATGCTTTCCCTTGACTCTCTGGAAATACCTGTTTAAAGACATAAGGAAATTAAACACTGCCTTTTACTCTGTTCGATTTAAATGCAGTCATTATAAGTCCTACAGTCACGGCTATGCGAGGGCACACACACAGGTTCTGTGATCAGGGTCTTCTTCAGTTGTTTTTTGTACCTCAGATGAAGCAATAAACCAGCATTCACTCACTCTGACAAAAGGGAGGGCTGTTTGCAACCTAAAATAACAAGTGGAAAAGCATGGGGAAGCATCTGAAGACAACTGAACAAGCTCCTTTCTGCCTTTATTTCCAGTAAATTAAGAAAAGGATAGCTGTGAAGACTAAATGAGACTTTGCACATGTAATGTTTAGCATATTGTCTGGCATATGGCAAACATAAATATGAATGGCTATTATTAACACTCTAATTATTACTGAAGAGAGTACTTGGTTAGAAGATGAACGGCTTGGTGTGTGATCTCACGCAAATTACATGGCTTATCCAGACCTACTTCTCTGAGAAGTGAGAGGGTTGGTGATCAAGGAGGTTCTTTTGGCTCTACTAGTCTAAAGTGTCAACGATCCTTAAACTGGTTTCTTTAAGCTTCCTGATAGCCTCAGTCATTGGCTATCCAACATTCAGCAAATTGAATCTTGTACAGATAGTACTGATATAAGTATGACCTCAACCAGGGAGTTTTACTAGGCTATAACACACTGATCAACAAGCAGAGCTTCTTTATCCTCAGCAATATAAGTATTTCATACAATTGGTACCTGCAGGGCAGACCCACGTGACCTTTCTCTGGTGACCTGCCCTCACTTGCCTCTGTGTGAGCATCCGCTTTCCTATTCTTGGCCCCTGTGCTCCTGGTGGAGGAGTTATCGACCTCCTGACTTAATTAGACTGAGCCAGTTGGTGAGCAGGCACCGAGTCAAGATGAGAACATGACCCATCTGGAAGGGGCAATAAGACCCTGCTGGATCTTCTGGGAGTCACATAAATGTCCTTCTCTGACTTGAATCTGGAAGCACATAGCTTTGGGATGATGAGGAGAGGGCCAAAGTACGGAGCGAGAGATGAGAAATGGGAAGGAGAGAAACTGTTATTGTCATGTTGTTTGAACCTTGGGAAAAGCCTGACCTTTTCCTGGCCTTTTGTGTATATGCATCAGTATCCTTGTTTGGAGGTTTCTGCACTCTGTACAAGATTTCCAACAGTTGCCTAAAGAACTGTAATTTTTTAACACAAGGCCCACAAATAAATAACTTTGTGTCCACATCTAAACTTTCTGAAACAAACCCCTCCCAAAAGTTGGTGTAGGGAACATTCTTCTCTCAAGAAAAACCCTCAGAAATAAGGCTTTACATATTTAAATTTATTAAAGTTGTCTTAGTTTCATCATTTAAGAACTATCATTTATACTCACCTAACTTTCTTTTTTTGAGACAGGTCTTGCTATACATTTCAGGCTGGCCTCAAACTCACTATGGAGCCTAGGTTGGTATCAAACTCATAGTGATCCTCCTGCCTCAGCCTCCCAAGTGATGAGATTATGGGTGTGTACCACCACTCCTGGCTCCTTTGTTTCTAAAGGTTTCCTCTTGTCAGTTGTCATCAGACAAATTTAATGCATCTACTGTAGTTTATCTATAATTCACAATTTGCTTTAATTTTTTAATTTTCAGGTGTGTACAAATATTTCTGTAAAATTGCTATTCACAAAGAGAATTGACTGGTCATGGTTTTACATATCTATAATCCCAGTTACTCAGGAGGCTGAGGCAAGAGGACATCAAGTTTGAGGACAGCCTGAGCAAATCAGTGAAACCTTGTTTCAAAAGAAAAATTGAAAAAGGGCTTGAGATGTAGCTCAGTGCTCCCTGGGTTCAATTCCCAATACTGACAAGGGAAGGGGAGAAAGGAGGAAGGGAGGATCACTAGTTTGAACAGTTATACACATTTTATTTCTGAAAGGCTCTGCCAGAGCATCCTTAGGTAGTCCTTTTTTACTATCACCAACAGTACATTACAGTACCCAAGAGTGTCTATTCTTTCCTCCGTGTCTTTGCCAACACTGAGTATTATCAGTGTTTCTAAGCTTTACCACTCTGCTGATAGTTTATTACTTTCATTGGCAGCTTCCTGATTATTATTTAACAGGAGCACTTTTTGTAATCTTAATGTCCTTTAAAATTCCTTCACCTAGTAAAGTGTCTATTAAAGTATCTTGAGGCCATAGTGAGTTTCAGACTCTGTCTGAAACTATTTGAGCTCACATTAATCAGAGCATGTCAATACTTAGGTGAGAAATTTAACTCTTAATGGTTCAAAATTCAGCTGCACAACTTCACTTCTTAGTTCACTAGACATCTTCACTGGAGTGTAGTTTAGTTAAATCTGGTATCTGAGGGAGAAAGCTAAAAGCTCATGTCTTGGTAACAACAGAATCAAAGATTAACTGTGAAAATATGCATAACTTGAATATTTAACTCAACTATTTCAGAGAATCACTGTGTAAAGCTCTTATTCTATGAAGACTAAAACAGTTTTACTGTTTTGTTTTGGGATGAGGTCTCATTATGTTGCCCAGGCTGGTCTCTTGCTTGTAGGTACAAAAGATACTCCCACCTCTGCCTCCTAAGTAGCTGGGATAACAGGTGCGCACTGCCATGCCTGGCTTAAAATAAAGTTTTGAAATAGTTTTTTTTTAATACTTTTATTTCCTTATTTATAGCAGGGTCTCACTGTGTAGTACAGACTGGCCTTGAACTCAGTGATCTTCCTGCCTCAGCCTCCTGAGTGTTGAGATTACAGGCATTCCCACCACACCCAGCCTTATTACTTTTAAATATATATTTAATAACTTACTTTTAAATAATTATATTTAAATATAATTATATTTATTATAATTATGTAATATATGTAAATAATTTACTTTAAAATATATATTATTTTTTATTTATTTATTTATTTATTTTTTTTGTCTTTTTCATTTTTATCGGTACCAGGGATCGAACTCATGACTGCCTGCTTGCAAGGCAGGTGCTTATGCCACTGAGCTAAATCCCCAGCCCTAAAATATATATTTAGCAATTTAATAATAATATACATACATACATACATACATACATTTAGCAACACATTAAAATGACTGTTGGAAGCAGATGCAGTACTGTTGATTACTGACTCCTACACTGTCATCTGGGACTGCTAGCAAAATCATCAAGTTCATAATGCTTAATTCAAACACAGCTTAACTGACATTTGAGAAACAATGTTCTTAATAAAGTTCAGAAGAAATGATGGGATAATGCTGGGCTTTACTGATGCCTGGCACTGGAACTCCTGAGTACAGGGTAGAGCAGGAAGGCCCTCAACTGGGAGGACACATACTTAACACATGGCCCAAAGCGCTAGGCCTCAATCTGGAGCTCCCTGGCAGACTTCCTCAGAGCCAGCCCAACTCCCATCTCTTCACTGTGCTGTTCAACTAGTGCTCAGAGAAGGCCCACAGCTGGAGCTGCTGGTGTGACATTCCTCCAATACGCCAAACTACCCAGCTCAGCGCGAGCCAGGAGTCTAAGTTAGGCTTCCTTATTGACAGATGCCTAACAAAGACCTTTGGCACAGACTATTAGTTGCTCCATTTTTCACACACACACACACACACACACACACACACACACACATGCGCGCGCGCACACACACACACACACACACACACACACACACACACTCTTCCAGTTAACAGAATCTTGGGGCAACACGTCAAGTAGAAAAACAGTACTTCTCAGCCTTCCTTTGCAGCTAGGTATGACATATGACTAAATTCTAGCCAATCAGATGTAAACCAAAATGTCAGACTTCAGGGACAGCTGCTTAGCCATCCCTCTTTTGCCTCCCTTTCAATCCTCTTTTGTTTGTTTGTTTGTTTGGTCTTTTTCGTTTTTATCGGTACCAGGGATCGAACTCATGACTGCCTGCTTACAAGGCAGGCGCTTATGCCGCTGAGCTAAATCCCCAGCCCTCAATCCTCTTTTAATGCCTGGAATGCAGTGTGATAACTGGAGATTTGATTATTATTTTGGGCCATGAATTAATGTAAAGATGTAAATCAGTAGTGAGGGGGAGGAAACAGAAAGACAAAACAACTTGAAGTTCTGTTATGCTTGCTGAGTTGCCAACATCCACTCTTTTCTATGAAATAATAAATCTGTGTGTTTAAATGACTTGTTATTTTGGACTTCGCTACACTTAGTCAAACTTAATCCTACACAATACAAACCTTTTTTAACTGTAAGAAGTAGAAGATTTTTGCAAAGATCTAGACTTCCAGCTGGCCTGAGATCTTGAATATTTAGGCATATGGGAAAACATGACATGAAAAAATATAAATCATTCAGTAGGCCAATTCTGATTTCTTTTTACTATGATAAGGTATTTTAAGAACTTTCAATATGTGAGGGCAACTGAGTGGATGTCTCAAAATATTAATACACATGGAGATAGCTATATGGTGTTGGACGGCAAGGTATAGTTTATGTAAATACAACCACTTTTATAACTATAATAATCTCTACTGTCCCACAGCAACTTTTATGGATCATCTCACTTGATCCTCTTGCCTGTGTTGCAGTCGCATGTGGAAATAGGGAAAGCTAGGGAAAACTTGAGCAAGTGTATTTGTACACACATACACACACCTACACAAAACAAACTAGCATCTTTTCTAAAGATAAGCCTTGCCTTAAAAGCTGCACTTAAAGAAAGAAGCTGTTAAGGACCAACAGCACTTCAAGTAAGAACTCATTGCTGTTGTTACACAGAGATCACTTAGCTTGGTGGTAGGCAGCAGCTCCGAAGGAAGCAAACTGTCTGTTTTCCCAATTATATAATAAAAATAGAGTTGCCCAAAGTTGGGATACTTAAAGTGATAAAATAAAAAATTGTTTGGGAAACAGCACTTTCATATGGACATTTATTAATCTAGTAATTTTTTGAAGTAGAGTTTTCAATAAAATATGCTAAT